TGTGTGCATGTGTCTGTGTGCCTGTAGGTGACCTGTGTATGTGTGTGTGCACGTGCATCTGTAGAAGTGTATTTATGCCTGCACATGCCTGAGTTTGTGACACTGTTGAGAGTGTGTGTGTGTCTTTGTATAAGGATATTTGTGTAGTTCCCATATTCACAGATGGTAATAACAACATTGCTGGAAGAAATCTTGGAGATTATCTCCAACCCTCACATTTTACAGATGGGGAAATAAAGGCCCAGAGAAGTGGACAAGGATTTGCTCTGCAATCTTGGGCAAGAACTGTACCTCCATGAACTTCTGTTTCCTCATCTTTAAAATGGGGATAATACTTGTCATGGGGCTGTTTTGCGGATTGACGATAATGTATGTAAAACCCTTAGGACAGTGCTTGTGTGGGTAAGCACTCAACAAACATTAGGTGTGATGGTGATTGTTACTGTAATTACTGTCACCACCACCCAAGACCCGCAGCTGATTTGTGGCAGACTCAGGTCTGATGTCTGACAGTGCAGTGTCCGCCCCATCAGGGTCCCTCTTCAGCATGGGTGTGTTCGTGCATTTCTCTCTGTAAGTGTGTGCGCGCTTCCGTATTCCTACACATGTCCATCCTTGTAGCAAACAAGTGCCTGGCACGGAGTAGGCTGGGCAGATCTGTGCATTGGTTATGATGTGTGAGTCTGGACGTTTGCCTGTATTTGTGTCTTCTATGAACTTCAGTACTACCATGCAGACCATGGGTGTGTCTGTCGGTGTGTCTCTCTGTACATGTCTGTGGGTACATCTATAGACATGGAAGTCTGTGTGCGTGTGTGTGATGTGCGTGCCCTTGGGGGCTGTGTGTATAAAGACGGGCTGACTTATAAGCAGGGTCAAGGAAAGTTTGGGGGCAGGAAGGATGGCTTGGAGCTTGATACTGAAAGGTCCACAGTTGAGGGTATTGGGGGCCCAGGTCAGGGCATCCCTGCCTGGGGACTCCTGACTCTCAGCCTCTCTCTGCCACTAGCGCCGGGCTTATTTCCGCCTCTGGAATGTGGCACTAGGGGGATTCTTAGCAGTGCCAGACCATGTGGAGGACATGAAGGCGGGCCGTGTGGTGGTCTCCAGGCCCCAGGCAGGAGGCAGCTGCATATGGTACTACGAGGATGGGCTGCTGAAGAACCAGGTACTGATTTAGGGGCTGGGACAGGGACACCTAGGCATTCGCAGGCCCACCTTGGGGAGTCCCAGCCCAGTCAGGAACAGGACCCACCCTTGGGCCAGAGAGACAAAGAGATGGGCACAGATGCCAGGACCCTGGGGAGGTGGAGGATGCAGCCTGTGTACCCCTTGGCAAATCATAGTGTTCTGTGGGCCTCAGTCTGCAAAACAGGTGTTGATTTAGATACTTCTAAAGGACCTCTCCACTCTACTATCCTGAGATAGAACTTGAATCCTACTAATAATGATAGATTGGCTTCATAGACATTTCCTGAGCACTTACTATGTGCCAGGCCCTATTCTAGATGCTGGGATGCAGCAGTAAGACAGAAATGATTCCTGCCCTCCTGAAGCTTACATCCTAGTCGGAAGAGACAGAAATAAATTAGTCAAATATCTTAGTATATTTGATGATGAAAAGTGCAGTAGAGGAAAGACATCAAGAAAGGAGAATGGGGGCTGGCCCGTGGCTCACTCGGGAGAGTGCGGTGCCGATAACACCAAGGCCACGGGTTCGGGTCCTATATAGGGATGGCCGGTTTGCTCACTGGCTG